GCTCCGGCGCCCACCACTCCCTCGGGAGATGATGTGAAGCCCATCGACCTTACGGTGCAAGTAGAGTTTGCAGCTGCTGAAGGCTCAGCCGCCGCTGCCGCGTCAGAGCTAGAGGCTGCTACAGCTGGCCTGGAGGCCGCTGAGTGCGCTCTGGGCCCTCAGCTGGTGGTGGTAGGGGAAGAGGGCTTCCCTGATACTGGCTCCGACCACTCGTACTCCTTGTCGTCAGGTACCACGGAGGAGGAGCTCCTGCGCAAGCTGAATGAGCAACGGGACATCTTGGCCCTGATGGAAGTGAAGATGAAAGAGATGAAGGGTAGTATCCGCCATCTGCGTCTTACCGAGGCCAAGCTCCGTGAAGAACTTCGCGAGAAGGATCGCCTGCTTGCCATGGCTGTCATTCGTAAGAAGCATGGAATGTGAATGGTTCCCTTCAGCAACCTGCAGAATTCGTGACTCCTTCCAGCCCAAGGAATCCTCAGGCGGATGTTGAACTCCCAATATTCTGGTTGACAGTGCTGAGGTTTAGGGCAGCGGGACTCTCATCTGGCACCCTCATTTGTTTGCTCCTGAAGTAGGAGTTGGGAACTTAAGAATCTGGTGACACCAGCAATTATGACTTTGTCTTTCACTCCCCAGTTTATGTTCCAGATTCTGGTTAAGCAAATGTTTCAGAACCATTGAACTTGAAACTTATCCTGGAGGGATGCAGGTGGGACTCTTAGGAACTTTGGGATTCAGAAAACCACATCTTTAGGTTGGCCAGCGATTGGAGACAGCTTTGGTGTGTGTAGTGATAAGAGATCTCAATAACATCATTTCTCCTTTTCATGCTTACCTGTTTCAGGTTCGGCCTGTGATTCTGATGGGGACTAGTTGGTCTGTGCCTCTGCCTTCTAGGACCTTTCTACCCAGAAGGTCATTTATGAGAGGGCTCTGGGTGACTTGCTGATGGAGATCCAGCTTACCAGGGACTTAGGTTTATCTCTGTTATGTTTGCTACCGGTTAAAAATTCTATTTTCTGTACAATTAGACTAAAGTTTTCACTGTGTTTGTTTGGCAAAACAAATTAAACAAAAAAAGTAAGGTTTTTATTTGGGTTTCGACATTTTATTTTTTATTAAAGCTAAGTGTCCTTGAAATATGGGGATATAGGTCTTGGCCTATTTGAAAGAACTGGCAAGCCCTGAAAATAGAAATGTTTTAAAGGACTGGACAGGGTTTCTCCATAAAGCAATAAAAAGCACATAGATCTTCATTAAGTTCCTTGATCAGGTCACTGCATAGTGTTTGGAAGCTGCATGGAAAGGTCTTGGTTTGTTCATAATTTTCTCCCTGGACCTTTGTGTATGTTTATGTACATGTGTGTAGTTTGGGTGCCTGAGGTTCCTGAGCTGTCATTCCTCAGGTGCTATCTAGCTTGTTTTTAAGACAAGGTCTTCTAGAGGTTGTGGATTTGTGGATTTAGCTTAGTGATGGAGCACTTAAGGGGGATAGGCTGGGTTGGGGGGTGGGGGATGGGGGGTTGCAAAAAAGAGATGGTCTTGTCACTGCCTTGGAACTCATCAAGTAGTTTAGGCTGGCTGCCCAGCCAGTGAGCCTTAGGGAATCTGCCTGTCTCTGTCTCCCCATTGCTAGGATTACAGGTTTACATCACCATGCTTTTTTTGTTGTTTGGTTTTTCAAAACAGGGTTTCTCTGTAGCTTTGGAGGCTGTCTTGGAATTTGGTCTGTAGACCAGGCTGGCCTGGAACCCAGAGATCTGCCTGCCTCTGCCTCCCTAGTGCTGAGATTAAAGGCTAGGGTCACTATAGTCTGTGAATGACATCTTTTTTTAAATTGCTTTTGTTATTTTCAATTATATGTCTGTGTGATTACAGCTGCCCGAAGTGGCCAGAAGGCCATTAGATAGATCCCTTGGAGCTGGAGTCACAGGCAGTTGTCAGTCACCTGACATAGATACTGGGAACCAAAACTTGGTACCTCTGAAAGAGCAGTATATATGTAACTATTGAGCCATCTCTCCAGGTCTGTAAAGCCTTTTAAAACCACCTGTTTCTGTGACTATTGGGGCATGTATGGGCTCTTAGGCTCTGTTAAAATTGGACTCACTTCTGAGTTACTTATGGACCAATCACCTTGCCTGGGAACATGCCTTGTGACTTGCAAGCTGAAGTGGCTTTGAGTTGGGAAATAGGTCTTGAGGAAGCTGCAGTATAGGTGCCCAGTTTGGGGAGTTGAATTTGCCTTTGTAGGGTTAACTCTGGCTTGTAATCAGATGGTGAAAACACAGCAGTGCATTTCTAGCTAACTGCCAAACTCTCACATGTCAATGCTCTTTCCTTGGAGTGGGGGCTTTCCCAGTCTGGGCCATCCTCTTGTTCTTTGAAAGGACAGCTGCTGTCACCTTGCTTCTCTTTAACCTTTTAGCAGCACTCCTGTCTCTTAACTTGTCTTGTGTTTTGTTTTCCTGGTAGTGATGGTGAGGCTACAGAAGTTTCACCAACAGGGTAAAGCAGAGTTCTTAGTGACTGGGTCATAAAAGCAAATGTCTAGCCAAACTAAGTGGCCTGGCCAGACAGGACTTAATCAAGAAGCTTAGCCTAGTTTTACCAGTCATTCCCAAGAGATGGGGTATGGCCAAAAGTGCAAATCTCCTTATGGCAAAACAGAAGTACTAAAGATTGTTCCCATTTGGAGGAAAGAGTCAGGGGTGTTTGAAGCCATTTTCCTTTCCTGTGGTTCTTTGAGTTGGCTGTAGAGCTATTTGCTCAGCACAGACCCGAGTGAAAAAGGCTTTCAAATGTTTGAGTTACCAAGGAAACTGAAAAGGATGTTGAGAGTGTGTTCACTTGGGAAAGTTAGGTTGAGCCAGTTATTTTTCTTTCAATAAAAATTAAAATTCTGGTTGGGCAGTGTTGGTTTACAATTTTAACCCCAGCATTCAGGAGGCAGAGGTAAGAGGATCTCAGTGAATTTGAGGTTAGCCTGGTCTACAGATCGAGTTCCAGGACGTTGTCCAAACCTA